CACATGTGAGTTCCCACCCACCAGTGGCAATCTCACCAGCATCCGAGCGTGAGCTAACACTTGGCCCCAGCCCAACCACTGTTTGTCTGACCTCAGTACATTGCAATAGACGAGGCTGGATCAGACTCTACACACCCAGCTGACTGGCAAAACATGTAGTGGTGTGTGGTTTGCTGGTATTTGTCCCACCAACAAAACATTCCAGATATCCTAAGAGAAATGGGTGCATTCGAATATAACCTAAGTATTATTTGAAAATATATGGTGTACACAGGTAACATGATGGATAATCCTTTCTGAGACTTAACTTATCTTTGAAGTCACATGTCTTCATGTCATTATCAGGGCAGCTTCGTCATGGCAAGGGCAAGATGATCCCCTTGCCTTGATCAATTTTCCAATGAAGAGCTGCCACTATGCGGTCACGTGTGTGGTCATTAGTGCGTTTGTATCTTTCAACACCATCCTTGCTGCACTGATTATCATCATGGATGATGGATCTTCAATCATTTGCAAACTCGTTCGCGACAACTTACAATCATAATCATAGTGTACAGAAGACTGGGAAGCTTCAAATATGCAAGGTAATATCTTGTTTCATTAGACCTGCGATCATGGTGCTGATTGCCCCTGCAGATCAGCATGCTAACTGCCCTTCTGCAAATCATCACATCTGATGGCGTTGAATTGCACGTCTATTCCTTCTGCAAATAGTTTCACTATGCTCATGATACTAACTACACAACAGGGCTGTTGGAGTCCAAGAGACCTGAGACAAGGAAGACAGATGGATCTGAGATAGGGACAGAGAGTGAATGAGAGGTACAGGCTCAAGCCTAACTTTTTGCTCTTCTAAGCAAATCTCTTCTCTGCGCGCTCTAGCTGAATCTCTATTTGACTGAAAATCACATGACCTGTTCATCATTTTAACCCCAAGCACTGATGAACTAGCTCGTGCCAGCAAGCCTCAGCTTGAATCAGGTTTGCAGAGTGGAGGTGAGTTCCACTTTGTAATTGTCTATGTTGTCTTCTGACAGATGGCAGATGGATGTCAGTGGAACCCAGGTTTACCATGGACAGAGAACCTCGAAGCAAAGGTTCAGCTTGTGCTTTCTAATGTGTGGAATACTACATGTATATTCTCTTACTCAATAATGACAAACAAGTCAATAGGTCATGGAAAGCATGCTGATATCTTGCTCATCAAGATACTTTTTTTGCTCTGAGCCGTTGTTGTTGGGGGTTGAAGGGCTCGCAAAAGTGAGAAACTACTTGAAAGGGTGAGGTGTGTGTGTCTAGTGAAAATTTCAATGTCTGCTTGGAAAGATCACTTGCAAGAACCTGTGTATCTCGAAGGTGAGCATGATTTCACAGTCAGATTATCCCAGAGATCTTTAATGCCATGACAGATTATACTCTTGCATTCTCCATGTGCTCTGATTCATGTGGTCTTCAGCTCTGCTAACTTGGCATCATGTCTATGCAATTTACCAAAATTGCCACACCTTTAGTCTTCCAGTGGAGCAGTGTATCCATTATTTCACTGGGCTCTGTCAAGAATCATGTTGAAATAATGGGCATCAGGAGCAAGGTTTTGAGGCTGACTTTACTCGTGGTTGTTTGGGGTACTTGATGATTGAGAATCTCAGAAAATTTAACATACAGCCTACTGCTGACTGAATAACTATCTATCTATAAGACAGTGGGAACCCAGTATACCCCTATGATGTAAATTCTATACTGAGTTAGGTTGTTCGGTGGCATCAACAAAGTGCTAACCCCATAGAAAAGTTATCCCCTCATTCCAATACTGGTGACTCCAAGCTTCGGAAAATATCAACATTGATCTCCACACCTTCAATTTCAACAACACCATTGGGAGTATCAGATGGAATCAGATGCATGTGTCAAAGAGCCTTGAACTAAAGAGCAGTCAGTATGTGTTTGAGTAATATAAATGTAAACTGACAATTTCTGTGGGTTTGTACTTGTTGAATATGTCCAGCATGGATTGCAAAGTGCCACTAAGGATGGTAGGGTCCTCAGTTCAGTTTAAGTATAATAATCATCACTTGGCAGGACACGCATGAGGAATGATGGTGAGCTTGCTGCAAAGGTCTGAAAGTCCCATTTTAGAGATGTCTTGATCATCAAAGGTCGTCAGAAGTAAGTTGGTAAAATACATGACAGGGAAAGGAAAGGAAAAAGGAAGGAAAAACAAACACTGGAAAAAAGACAGAAATTGGACAGAAAGGAGGAACTTCCAGGTAAAACTCTTCTTCTGCTTCTTCTTTGAAATAATCTTGATCTGCAACTCATTGATGCTCTCCCTGGTGCTTCCACTAGCAGGAGGTGTAGACATACTCCCACCTGCAACACTACTTGCCATGCTCGTGTCTTGCACACTCATCTCCCACCCCAACACACCAGGCTATTTCTGACCTTTATTGAGGAAACTGATCTTCCTCACCAGTCTCTGGATGCTATGTGTCGCAAGAGTTTCCCTTGGCTCAGGCAAACCTGCACACAAAGGCATAGTCACTGTCACATCGAACATTACACTTGCCCCTTGCATGTGTGCAGATATGGCTGCACAATTGGGATGGCTGTGGATGAAAGGCAAGTTGGACATGGATGCTGTTGTTGGGAAATGATTGGGGTGGTCATCTGTGATGGGGAATGACATAGGTGCATTGAATTTGGGCGGTAAGCATGCTGGGATGACTTCGGGTGAATTGACGACTATACACTCTTCGACTGCTAGGCTGCGTGTTTCAGAATCGAAAATAGTAGATGATTGGTCAGTGGATAGTCGAGACTGAAAAATGTACATTGGAAATGTGATGGTGGCAATTGACACTTGCATTCTCTCATGGATCTATGTGTGAATGTCCATGGTGGACTGTTGTGAGGGAGAGCAGTTGGGAGTTAGGGGCAATGTAGCAGGGAACTGCAAGGAGACCGTCAAGTCAAGTACAAAGGAAACAAAGGAACAACGTACATCCATGGGATCACGAATATCAGTATTCTGGAGGAACTGTTTGCTGTGAGTGTATTGTAGGTGATTGTATTAGCAGGTGAGCACTGAGGGGTGAAAGATCTGATTGCCAGTGATATGAAAGGAAGTAGCACAGCCTGAGTACATTATTATCCTTGAGGGTCTGGTTGATGATAGAGCAACTTACTTCAGATTGTATTTTTAATTTCTTCCAGGGTCTTCAGGAGCTGAGTGACACTTCCTGCAGAGGATATTAGATCATAGAACATTGCTGTTCATGTGGATTTCACAGAGGGATTCAGATTGGAAGAAGAAGCAGGAGTAATATCAGTGCTGTCCTGATGGTGGGTCACAGGGGGATCTGAATCAGATGATGTGTCTGTGGTCAACACTGTTGCAGGAGTTATCATGCTGTGCTACAGGCTCCTTCTCTTGAAAACAACACCGTCCACTGGTGAGTGTGATGCTTCGGCAAACACCATTTCATTGATGACATGACTTAAGTTAAGACACTTGAATATTGTGCTGCTACTTGGTATCGCACACGTTGAATCACCATGGCCAGCTCTTGTTTATCCATGCATGCCATCTGGGATGTTATATGTTTATCTGGAGAAGCAAACAACAACCCTTTCTGTTTCTGCAAAATTCAGATTGGTATGTTCTTAATCCATACCAATCATATCTACTCAGTGTTCATTGATTCTTGTGTTACTAGGTCGAGGGTGTCGCTGATGGTCTCTACTATTGTTCATCCATTTATAACAAGTTGTCGTTTTTGTTATTGATGCCTATGCAGTTCACTCGAATAAAGTCATTCATGGAGACCTTCAACCTGTATGTATGGCTGTCTCTTTGTGGATATTGCACTTATTTGTAAGTCAGGCCAATGTGTTGATAGACAATTCAAGCAATCCATGTATCACAGGTTTCGGTCTCGCAACAGTCATGGGAGACCCAGAGTTGCAATGGAACTCAACCACTGCAGCATGTGATTTCAATTCTCAATGGCGTGCACCTGAAGTCATTGGAGTAGAGTCTGATGAACCTGCATGACCAACTTTTGCCAGTGATATCTATTTTTTTTGGTAGCGTTATGCTCTTTGTGTGATCTATTTCATGTCACTGTGATGCTACCCTTGACTTTTTCCGCTCAGATCATCTCAGGGAATATTCCATGGAAAGAGAAAAACTCGAATCACATTGCCATTGAGCTATCAAGAGGAGCTACTCCTCTGCGTCCTGAGAACATGCCTAATGGTTCCTGGAGCTTGATCAAATGCTGCTGGTCTCTGGATCCCACAAATCATCTGGAGACTGCACACATCCTTGATCAGTGCAGGATTGATGACTCACAGGTCTGGCAACCTGAGTATTTCATCAATGGCTAATTCTGATACATTGCCCCTAGCCATCCATTTCAGAACTAACAACTCTGTAGGGATCTTCACACTGAAACAAGAATTGATTTATTCAGTTTCTACATATTCTTCAGTTCCATTCCAAGATCACTGGCAGGTCAAATAGATCTTACAGGTCAGATCTTCAGTACAATAGGCAATTATGTCACTGGAGGGACATTTGGAAATGTTTATAGATGTGAATGGAGACAACTGTATGGCCCTACAGTTGAGGTCTGTTCAGTTGCATAAGTTGCTGATCAGCCTGTTGATTCTCGCACCCCAGGTTGCAGTAAAAGCCTTGAGATTTCATACCTCAGAGCAGGACTTGAGAGTAGGTGTATTTTTCCTCTACTTTGAGTGCAGTTGCATATTGGTTTGCTAGAGATTTCGATGAGAATCCACAATATGGGCACACCTTGTCCACAACAATATCATCACACTTGTTGGAATGACAGAGGGGTTTGGACCAACTACAGCACTTGTCTCCCTGTGGTTTCCGGATGGTAACCTACTTGATATGATCATGGCACAGGGTGCTGGATTGAGCATCAGGTCCAAATTGCAACTGGTAAGCCACAGTTTAGCTATAATGAAATACCCATTGACATCGCTAGCTTCATGGTATAGCATCCAGGCTTGACTATCGTCTGTTCTTTTCATTGATGTCTAGTTTCAACTGATCAATTTGCTGTTAGTTCACCAGGTTCCTATGGTTCATGGAGACATCACAAGTGTGCATGAGTTTATTCTTCCCGTAAAATTGTACTCACAAGACTCCAGTCCAATGTTCTGGTAGATGTGAAGGACAGAGAATACAAGGCATGCCTTATGGATTTTGGGTTGTCAACTGTCCTAGGCAGGCTTCTAGATGACTCCGTAAATGAAGATTCAAAGATTTGGCATGGTGCAATCAGGTGGACTGCGCCTGAGTTGCTGACTACCCACAATTACCCCACTGATCTCAAACTGACCACAAAGCACAACATATATTCCTTTGGTCGCGTCATGTTCCATGTGAGTGTAAATACTGTAGGCCCACAAAATTCTATTTAATATATATATTTGCAGGTGTTATCCCTGGTCATTCCTTGGCATGATATTGATGACTACATAATCTTTCAAAAAATCCTTTGTGGAGAGGATATCTTGCATCCTGAAACATCTGATGCGACATCCAATATTACAGACACCTGCTGGGATCAGATTGAGCAGTGTTGGTCGGTTGATCCATCTACTCGTCCATCTGCCTTAATGGCCTTGGACTTTATAAAGAGTGAACTAGAGGTTTTGAAACAAGATGTAAGCACATGACTGGTCTCGTCACGCAGGAGTTGAGTTTCTGACTCTGATAGGATGTCCTTGTTGGCGGGGTACAGGAAATTTATATGGTCATTTCAGAAATAGGTTTCAAACTTGTGCAAAAACCTCTTTTTGTGGGCTGGTACATATCATGGTGGGCGCATCCAGGAATGATATGAGCCAAGAATCAAAGAAATCAGTGGTTGGGTTGTGGAAATATGGTCGAAATACTGAACTTTTGGCCCCACCAACATATGTCACCATTATTGACCTCCAGATGGTCTGGGACCATCACCAATCGATTTCTATGCTTGAAAACCCCCAGGACAGTCCTTTACATTATCAGTATCAAGTTAAAATCATGTACAGCACAATATAGGAGGTAGGAGGGGGGAGGAGGACCTTGCATACCTCAAGAATGTGATTTTTTCTGGGAATTCTGGCTCAACCATCATGTTCAGAGTGATCAAGAGCCCTCAGGAAAAATGCTGTTGGAGCACTGGCAAGTCATGGGAAGTCTGTAAAAATCGATCTTTGTGGGGGGTATGAGGCAAACTGACATATTTCAATCCAGACAGCCTCAAAATATTCCAGAACCATTACCAATCAATTCCTGTGATATAATAACCATAGGAGCACCCTTTTACATGCCGGTATTTACATAATATCAAGATATATGAGATGGTAGGGGGGAGGGGGACCTTGCATATCTCCAGAACCTGATTTTTACTGGTGAATCCAGCTTGACCATCGTGTTTAGAGGAATCAGGATCCCATGGGAAAAATGCTGTCAGAGCACTGGCAGGTCATGGGAAGTCTGTAAAAATCAATCTTTGTGGGGGGGCATGAGGTAAACCAACATGTTTCAATTCATACAGGCCAGGAATGCTCCAGGACCATCTCCAATTGATTTCTATTGTCATAAAACACTGGGAACATCATTTTACATGTCAGTATTTATATAATATCAAGATGTATGAGATGGGGGGGACCTTGCATATCTCAACAACCTGATTTTTCCTGGAAAATCTGGCTGGACTGTTGTGTTCAGAGGGATTGATCACCCCTGGACAGATACTCTTGGAGCTCTGACAAGTCATGAGAAGCCTAGACAAATCTATCTTTAAGCTTTGGGGGGTATCAGGCAAACTGACACATCACAATTTACATGGGCCCAAATGATCCTGAGACCATCTCCAATTGATCAATGTGATCACAAAGCACTAGGAACATCAGTATTAACATGGAATCATGCCTCTGGGCCCAGTAGGTAGGGGGAGAGCAGGATCACTCTGGAATATGTGAATATTTCAAAGTGATAGGCCGCATTTAGAAATGCTTATATAAGCAAAAATGCGGTCAACTTGAACCAAAAAATTTCTCTTTCTTTCTTCTTTGCTGGTTGTCACTCCTCTATGGGAGTCTACTGTTGATAATGGTGCCAGCTGTTTTTTTTTCGCTTTTTTTCACTTTGTGGGTCTGGGGGCCTTTTGCTGGTTGTCACTCCTCTATGGGAGTCTACCATTGATAATGGTGCCAGCCTTTTTTCGCTTTTTTTTACTTTGCTTTTGCTGGTCCTCACTCCTCCATGGGAGTCTACCATTGATAATGGTGCCAGCTTTTTTTCGCTTTTTTTTCACTTTGTGGGTCTGGGGGCTTTTCTTGCTGGTCCTCACTCCTCTATGGGAGTCTACCATTGATAATGGTGCCAGCCTTTTTTCGCTTTTTTTTACTTTGCTTTTGCTGGTCCTCACTCCTCCATGGGAGTCTACCATTGATGATGGTGCCAGCTTCTTTTGCTTTTTTCACTTTGTGGGTCTGGGGCCTTTTCTTGCTGGTTGTCACTCCTCAATGGGAGTCCACTGTTGATAATGGTGCCAGCTATTTTCGCTCCATGGGACTTTTTGAGAACAACTATTTTTGCTTTTGATGGCTGTTTAGATAGCTTTTGCCCTTCTATTAGAGTTTTGTTGATCATGTCTAATGTAACTGATGCAATGTAACTCATGAATATTTCGCTTTGGAGAGCTCTTGTTGTGTGTGTCACCTCCTATGAGAATCAACCTATCATCAATAGTATAAATTTTCGCTTCTGAGAGCATTTGCCATTCATGTCACTCTATGTATTGTTGATGTGAATTATGAATTTTGGACATGAACATGTTTGAGGTAGAATCAATCAGTGTTGTGTATGAACTGCTATGCTGAGGAAGACAAACAAAGCCAGACTATCAAAGAATCATGACAATACCACCACAAGGTAGGAGGGAAAGGGGGACCTTGCATATCTCAAGAACATGATTTTTTCTGGGAAATCTGGCTTGACCATCATGTTCAGATGCATCAATGGCCCCAGGGACAACCACTCTTGGAGTCCTTGCAAGTCATGGGAAGCCTAGAAAATTCGGTCTTTAAGGGGGGTATCAGGCAAACTCACACATCACAATTCATATTAGTTCAGAACACTCAGAACTCACGTACAATCTATTTGTATGATCACTAAATACTAGGAACACTGTTTTGCACATAAGTATTGACATAAAATCATGCCTCTTGGTGGAGTGGGTAGGGGCAGGGCATGCCACAACTCTGAAACATGATTTCTTTGGAGAAAATGAGCATTGCCATCGCATTCAGATGGTTCAATAGCCTTTGTGTTGAGTTCTATTTGAAGCCAGGAAAGTCCCATGGAGACTGGGAAAATTGATCATTGAGCAAGGGCCTCATATATAAGCAAAAATGCAGTCAGTTTGAACCAAAAATGTCTCTTTCTTTCTTCTCACTTTTTACTTTACTTTACTTTACTTATGGCCCTGGGAGCTTATGTTAGCATCGCCCTTCTACGAGGGTACTACCATTGATCATGGTGCCAATACATTTAGCTTCTAGGGTGTTTTTCTTTTTCTTGTTTTTTACTTACTTCCTTACCTACTTACTTGTGAGCCTAGGAGCTTATGTTGGTGTCACCCTTCTACAAGGGTCTTACCATGGACAATGGTGTCAACATGTTTCACTTCTGGAGTCCTTTCACTTTCACTTTCACTTTCACTTTACTTCACAGCCCTGGGAGCTTGTGTTGGTGTCACCCTTCTATGAGGGTACTACCATTGATGATGGTGCCAACACATTTTGCTTCTGGGGTCTTTTTTTTGCTTTTTGCTTACTTACTTTTGGGCCTGGGGCTTATGCTGGCCTCACCATTCTATGAAGGTACTACCATTGATAATGGTGCCAGCATATTTCGCTTCCAAGACCTATTTTTACTTTACTTTTTACTTTCCCTTACTCGACTTGTTGGCCTGTGGGCATGTGCTGGTCTCACCCCTTCTATGAGGGTACTGCCATTGATAATGGTGCCAGCACATTTTGCTTCTGAGGGCTGTTTTTTTTACTTTTACTTTACTTTTACTTTACCTTACTGTGCTTGTTGGCCTGGGGGCTTATGCTGGTCTCACCCTCCTATGAGGGTACTACCATTGATAATGGTGCTGACACATATTGTTTCTGGGGTTTTTTTCTTTCTTTTCTTTGCTTTTTACTTGCTCGCTTTACTTACTTACTTGTGGACCTGGGGGCTCATGTTGGTGTCACCCTTCTATGAGGGTACTACCATTGATAATGGTGCCAACACACTTTGCTTTTTGACTTGACTTGTGGATGTGGGGAATGTTATATTGTTGGTGTCACCC